CACCACACTCTGCTGCTGTCCTTACTCCTGGCTTCTCCATGTTCCCCGTGACCAGGACAGTGTCCGGCTGAGTTGGCACCACACTCTGCTGCTGTCCTTACTCCTGGCTTCTCCATGCTCCCTGTGACCAGGACAGTGTCCAGCTGACTTGACACCACGCTCCTCTGCCGTCCTTGGTGAGCATGCTAAGTGCAGGTGAGTAGCACACTCACAGGTGCCTTGCTTCCCGACTTCAGGCCCTGCACGTGTCAAAATATTTACTTCCAGAACATTTTCCCAGCCCATGTCTTCCCTCCGTCTCTTTCCTGAGTCCACCGCACTGTCCACTCCAGTGACAAAAATATAACCCCAGTTCACGAATTTGGAATGAGTGGCACACGAGGGGCAGACAGCAGGCAGGAACACGCAGGTGCCTGAGGGGACAGGAGGTCTTGGCAGAGCCTGTGCCACCGTGACAGCCCTGGCACGTGGTTCGAGCCCCTCCTGGCTGTAGAACACAGGCTGTGTGTCTGGTGAAGGCCTCTTCTCTGTGCACACTGGCTGCAATGCACTGCTGCTGCTTGCAATCAGAACATCTCTAATGAACACATTGATTAAGTGGAGAAAATGGGTGGAAGCAAGCAGACAGCCTCCATGTAAGTGTTCCTGGACACGCCAGGAATGAAAGGGTCTTGAGACTAAGTCTCACTCTGTTCCCCAGGCTACTAAGTTTCACTCTGTTCCCCAGGACACAGGGCTGTAGCATCACCCAGCTTGCAGCAACCTGAAACTCCCAGGCTCAAGCGATCCTCATGCCTCAGGCTCCTGAGTAGCTGGGACGACAGGTGCTTGCCACAACGCCTAGCTCATTGTTCTATTTCTAGTAAAGACGAGGGTCTTGCTCTTGTTCAGCTGGTCTTGAATTCCTGCGCTCAAGCAATTGTCCTGGCGTCCCAGAGTGCTGGGATTACCCGTGTGAGCCACTGCACCTGGCCTGGCATAAATGGTTTGATTACTTAACGCACACAGGTGGTCCATAAGTAAATGCACATGGAGCTTGCTATTTGTGGAACTCATTTCACGAAAGGGTGCCTATTTAACATTTTCTGTTTTTAAGAAAAAGTTCTCTGTGAAAGGGGAGGAAGCAGGGTGCACGTTTGTGTATA